TTAACAGAGGAAACAAAAAGAACAAAAAAAATTAGTTAGTCCTGCTGTATTGTAGAATATAACTCCCTCCACTCACCGTTTTCCGCCTGCTCCTCGCCGTCAGAGTCCGCCTTGCTGCTCGCCTCTTTACCGCCGGGCGACTGAGGAGCTGCCTCTCCTCCAACTCCTCCTCCTGTCGCTCCCTCCTGCTCTTCATCGGGGCCTCCTCCTCCTCCCGTCAGGGGCTCCTCTTCCTCTTCATCTTCCGCCACCACCGTCGGCCCCGACTCCACCGCCGCCGCCGTCCCTTGGCAATTGCCCCAGAAGTCGGCATTTACTCCACCTCCCCGGAGCTCCAGGTAGCGCGCCGTCGCCCGGGCGTGCTTCCGCTTGACGTCGGCCAGCCTCAGCGCCTTCCACCGCTTGAAGGACTCCTTGCCCACCAGGTACTTCCTCCTCCCTTGGCCATCTTCGGCAGAGCCTGCTGCTGCTTCCGCCGCCGCCAATGCAGCCCTTGCCGCGGCGCTCCTCGGCCGCTGCATCAGCGCCTTGATCGTCTTCCCGTCGGCGTCCATCGTCCGCTTCAGCTCGTCCAGCTCCGCCGCCGCAGAGACACAGTACTCACAGAAGAAGGCCTGCAGCGGTTCCAGCCGCGGCCCCACCGTGCCGTAGTGGTCGTAGATATAATCGGCCGTCCAGGAGGTGATATTGCGAAAGGCGGCGGTGACCATCGCCAGCTTCCCGTGGACGCACAGCAGCGGCCGATTGTCCACCGGCGGCACCTCCTCCCTGATGGTCGCCTCAAAGAGGCGCTGCAGCCAGGCGCGGCTGATCACCTCGTACTCGCTGGTCGGCATCAGTCGCCTCCGCTCGGCGCTCACCGCGGTCAGGCCCTCGCCGTAGTCCTCGTAGAGCGGCACCGCCATCGCCTGCCAGATCTTTCGCACCGTCTCCCGGTGGTCGAGCTTGCACTGCTGCTGGATTGCCTGGGTGGTGAGAGGGGAAGGGAAGGAGAAAGATTTGAGATTAGATACATTTTCAACCAAGCGAAAAGGTCGACCTCTCCTTCTCTACTTTAGAAAGATCCCCCTACTCACCCGCTGATCGGCCAGCTCTTGCTGCTCCCTCTCGTACTCGGCATTGCTCTCTTCAATCGCCCGGTGCAGGCACTCGGGCACGTCGCAGGCCTCGAAATCGTCGGGCAGCTCTACGTCGGAGGACACCTCTTCGCCGTCATCGTCTTCAGAAGGTGCCGACGCGGCCGTCGCCGTCTCGTTGCGTCGGTAGACGAGCATATAGGCGGTCTTGGAGCGGTGCACCTCTCGCTTGCCGTCCTCCACGGGAGTTTTGCGCTTTCGTCCTCGACCACCGCCGCCGCCTTTTTGGCCATTTTTGTTGTTGTTTGCATTGCTGCTGCCACCACCGTTTGAATCGACTTTTGATATGGTTGTTGTTGCTGTTGCTGCTGCTGCGTTTTCAGCTGCATCAGCCGCTGCTGAAGTGGAAGCACCGCCGCCGCCAAAGTCCTTAAAGTCAACAAGCTCCTCGGCGTCGACCTTCAGGTTAAAGTCACGCAGCTGTTGCACCTGTTCGTCGTTGAACTTGTACCAGACACCCTCTCGCTTGATGAATGTAATGTAGTGGCCGCTGTGCGCCGACTGGCCCTCGTGCACCAGCACTGCAAAAAGGCTGTAGCCGGCGTACTCGGCTTTTCGATACCTCGCCGGCATGTGCTCGTTCATGTCAAGGCGAGAGGGAAAGGAGACAAAGGTGTTTATCTTCTTACTTCGGCCATCCTCCGAGAAGTGGAAGCGCAGCAGCTGCAGATTGAGCAGACGCGGCAGCTTACGCAGCTCAGTGTACCGCCGGGCGTCCTGCAGGCGTTCACATCGGCGACAGCGGTACTGGTTGCTGCCCTCTAGCACCTCCTCCTTGAAGAAGTCGCCCAGACATTCCTCCAGCGTCTTGAAGCCCTTCACATGGAGCAGCAGCTCCATGCACTCGGATGGCACTTCGCTGGCGGTGTTGCAGTGGCTGCACCTAAAGGAGAGAGAGATTTAGAAATGATCACCTCATAGTCTGCTCTCAATTAGTGCCCCCTTACTTGTTGACAGTGGCCGTTTCTAGCCGATACTGCTGGTGAATCGTCTTGAGGATGGAGTGCTGATGACTAGCTCCAGCTCGCCCCCTCAGCAGACTCTCGATCTTGCCGATGAAGAGAGTGCAGAACTCGTGCTGGTCCTGCTCTTGCGTTTGATTCAGCTTCAAGCACTTGACCAGCTGCTCGGGGTCAACGGTGGGACGCCGGCTGAATTGCATCATCGCAAAGATGGACTGCAGACAGCGAATGGGGCTGTTGCTGGTCTCCTCCGGATCGTCACTCTCCGCCGGCCGCCACCGGTAGAATGCCTGTCGAATGTGGACATTGTGGAACCATAGCTAGAAAAGGTGCAGAGCATTTAGAGAAATAGAACAGCAGCAGCAGCAACAGCAGAAACTCACCTGAATGAACGTGTTCAAGTAGCAGGTAGCACCAAGGTTGCGCAGCCCACAAAACTTGGCGCGTCTGAGAATGTTAACCTCTCCTTCGCTGAGGTCGTCTGTTTCGGCGGTCTTTCGCAACCAGGCCTTCTGTCCGAGGCCCTTTAGGCAGCGAGGATTGTTGGGGCAGGATCTGTGAAGAGTAGTGAAAAGTTGGTAATCATCATCATGATCATCATCATCAGCAGCAGCAGCACCACCAAAAGAAAGCGACAAAGAGAAACAGGCACTCACCGATTAGCCTTGGTTCGACAGTTATCCAAGTTCTGTTTATAGTACTCCCGACTTTTAGCGATCAGCTCCTCGCCGCTGAGGAGGACAAATTCATCAAAGAAATCGTAAATGTTCGGGTCGTCCTCCTCCTCCTCGTCGTCTTCGTCGCCATTGCCGACCTCCATTCTGCCTTCCTCCTCTTCTTCGTCCTCGGACTGTTCCTCTACCAGCATCATTACCGGCACCAACGGCGAGGACGACGACGACGCTGATGACATCGGTGGTGGTGCCCGGTGTCTGCTCACCGGCTGAATCACAGGCGAATGAAGTCTCCTCTTGAGGGGAAGTTCAGTGTCACAGATGGCGATTCTTTTTCTGCTTCTGTTTCTTCTGCTTCTTCTTCTTCTTCTCGATGTGTTGTCGTCCCAGTGCTGCAGTACGGCGGTGAAAGCACAGCAAAAGCGAGCGGCAGAATGACAACTGCTGCCACTGTGCTGCTGCAGCCTGCAACTTTCGGTAAGCAAAGTGAACAACTCTTTTTGAGTGCAGCGGCTGATGCTGACGGCGGCGGCGGCCCTTCACAGACAACGGAGCCATGTGATCGCTATGTGTTGACAATCTTCATCAAAACAACAAAAAGTGGTTGATTTTTAATCTTCATCTTCATCTCCATCCTCCGGGACTGCTCACTCATGGACCTAAATGTGATCGTCTACCAGGAGAAGGAGTTTGCCAGCGAGAAGGCCATCACCAGCAAGGTGATGCGGGCGGTCAATGGTAAGTGCTGCTGGGTGCGAGTGCTAATGTGCATAATTTATCACTTCTAAACTTCTTCAGACGGCTTCAAGCGGATCGCCCTCTCGGTGGTCATTCACGGCAAAAACATTGCCAATGTAAGTTCTTTTCTTCTCTTTATTTTGAATTTGGTTTTACTATTTAGAACTTTACACATCACTAGATCCCCATGCCAGTCTCCTGTGCAGTGCTTCGCTCCACAGTGCCCGACGTACAAATTCTCCACCGCTTGACGGTGAAGATCGAAGAAACCGATCAGATCTTCAAAATCGTAAGAGTCTTGTTTTGGATCGATTGATTGATAGTAACCTTTTTCACCCTCTCAGTCCAAAAGCGACCGCTTGAAGCACTACGACCTGCTGGCAGTGGAGCCGGCCAACGAGCACATCCTCAGCTACCTCAACAATGGCCACTTTGACTGCGACCTGATTACCTTCACCTTCACGCCCTCATCGTTTAGTTCGAGCAGTTCTAGCAGCAGCAGCAGCAGCAGCTCCTCCGCTTCAGACAGCAGCAAACTGGTGACCGCCCTGAAGCGGGCCAACTTTTCGCTGCCCCTCTCCAAGGGCATCGGCGTGGAGGTGAACTACGCCGACCTGCTCTCCAGCGGCAGCGCCCGCCGCCAGGCCATCGCCTGCGGCCAGCTCCTGGTCGACAAGACCGGCGCCAAGGTAGACCAGGTTTTTGTGTTTTGAGGAACTTCAACAGACTCTAACTTTTGTTTCTTTGGCTCAAACACCCACCCAGAACATCATCCTCTCCAGCGGCTCCTCCTCGCTGCTGGCCAACGGAAAGTCACCCCGAGATGTCATCTACATGTGAGTGTGCTGTTTAGATTAGAGCTTACAGTTTTGTAACGTTCTGCTTCCCCTCTTTCACTCCAAACCCAAGTGGCCTCCTCTTTGGACTGACCGAGTTCCAGAGTAAGATGGCCACCTTTCGCAATGGCGTCAAGGTGATCAAGCACGCTGGTAAGTAGTAGTAGTAGTAGTATTTTGTTTTTTGTTGATCATTTGTTTGGTGCTGTGATTGTTGTTGTTTGTTATCGGTACTGGGAGAGGAGGGTGCCGAAAAGATAAAAATAATTTGTAAATGGTACTTTGAACAGTGAAGTGGATGTGATGTGAATGAGGTTGAAGAGGCGAGGTGATAGTGAACAAAAAACATAAACAACTTTCTTCTTTCTTTCTTTCTTTCTCTAGAGCTTCGCAAAAACATTGTCGCCAGTTCGATTGAGGTTCTGGATGGTGGTGGCGATAAAGACGATGCACAGGTCGCTCCAGTCGGCGGTGCCCTCAAGAGGGTTGCTGAAGAGGAGACTGGAGGAACAAGTGAAGAAGGGAAAAAGCCAAAGATCACCAGTTGAAGTACTCCTCCTCTACTTGTCATCATCCTGTTTGTATCGCCTCGACGTACTGCGCTTGTTGTCACTCTGTAATTAAAGCATTTGCCACTATTAATTGTCATTCAATTCAATCCGATTGTACCTTTCTTGCGTCGCTGCTGCTGCGGTCATCGCCTCTCTTGGGCTTACTGCTGCCGCTGCTGCTGCTCTCCTCGTGATGCTCCTTTTTTCGTTTGCTGCTGCTGCTGCTACTGCTCATCGTCGGCGGCTCGGGCGCCTCCTGCACCGAGGAGGAAGTTTCCTTGGCCTGCGTGTCAAGTGAAGAGGAGGAGTTGGCAATGGAATGATCATTACCCGATCGTTTGATTAGTACAGTGTCAGTGTCAGTGAGTGGGCGTGCATTGGGCGGCGAACTGTGCCAGCTGATGCTGCTGCTGCCACTGTTCAGTGTTATCATGCTTGGGTCGCCGCCATGTCTGCTGTTGGTGCGCACAATTACCGTTCGTTTGCGAAGCGACGTCTTCTTGTCGCCGTAGCCAGAGGAAGAGGAGGAAGTGGCGATGGTCGAAGATCTGCCGCCACCACTTGAAGACGACGGCGGTGGTAGGTGCGACTCGGCCTGCGAGCTGTGGTGCTGCCGCTGCTGTCTCTCATTGTTGCCGCTGCTGCTCTCGTCGACGGCCTTGGACTCGATCTTTCGTTTTTTGTATTCCTTTTCTGCAAAAAGATCAGTTAGCTTAATATTGACAGTCCATCATTAGGGAGAACACTCACCTCCACTGTCAATGTCTACCACCGATGCAGACTCCTTTGATCGATAATCAGCGACGACGCTGCTTCGCTTTGGCGACGATGAGGCAGAGGAGGAGGCTCGAGACTCGGCTCTCATCGCCGAGCTCAGCTCTTTGCTGCTGTTGCTGCTACTGCTTATGGTGCTTGAAATCTGCGATTTGCCGCTGCTGCCACTGCTGCTGATGTTGTTGCTGCTGCTGCCGCCTCCATCCTCTAAAGACTTGCTCGACTTGCTGGACTTGTAGTTGTCAGAGCTCTTACCACCTCCACCACCTTCAGTGCTGCTCTTGTACTCCGCCGAGCTTCGCACCTCCTTCACCGTCTTCTGCTTCAGCAGCTCATTCGGATCGGAAATTTCCGAGCTGCGAACGTGCGTCGATTTAGAAGAGGAGGAAGAGGAGTTCTTCGCCTTGCTACTGCGAGACTGCTCAGAGCTGTGGTTGTTGTTGTTGTTGTTGTTGTTGTTCTCCGAGCTCTTGTGATGGCCGCCATCACTTGAATGATGACCGCCACTTCGCCTTTCTGCAGCTTCAGTAGGCTCTGGAGCCGATGAGGAATAGGAGGAAGAGGACTTCTGCTGCTGCTGTTGATGATGTTCTGAAGAAACGCTCTGTGCAGCTAAAGTGCCCGAAGATGCTGCGTTGGTGGCAGACGAAGCAGAAGGAGCCGCCGAAGCAGCAGCAACAGCAGCCGTCGTCGCCGCCGCCACTGTCACCTTCTTCGTCTCCTTCTCGTGAAACTCACTCTCCGGAATGAAGCTGCCCTTCTTCAGCTTCAGCTGGCCCGAGTAGCCCGTCGCTAGGACAAACAGATCCGGCCGCTTCTCGCGCTCACTGTTGCGAATGTTATCCAGCCGCCGCTCAATTGCCTGCGCAAAGCTGATCATCACGGGAAAGAAGACGAGCAGTTTGCTGAGAATGATCAGCGAGTTGCGAATCTGAATGTAGTCGCCCGAGTCGAGGCAGAGGATGAAGGCCTTCGTCAGGCGGTAGTGCCACTTGTGACACACATGGCGGTAGCTCTCGTAGTCAATGTGCACCGGGTCCTTCTCGCAGAACTTGGTGACGAAGCCCGGGAACTTGGCGCACTCGGCGGCGAAGACCGCCGTGTCGCGGTGCCAGCGCATGGCAATGTCCAGGATGGAGCAGAGGAAGCGGCCGTAGTGATTCGCCTCGTTCTCCGTACAGGAGCTCATCGTGTAGGAGATGTCGCCGAAGATCTGCAAGAACAATAAAAGGGGCGAGTTAAAAGGCTAAAAACACAATAGAAATCACCTACCCGGTCAAAGCAGATGAGCGTGCTGAAGTTGGGCGTCTTCAGGCAGTGCAGCAGGTGGACGAACTTGGCGCAGAAGAGCGCATCCGAGGCGGACCACTTGCAGCGGGGGAAAAGGCAGTACTGGAGGAAGTGCGTCGTGACGTCCATCTTGTTGACCGTCGTCTCGAACCAGCCGCCCTTCTCGCCGTCCAGCCGGTGCAGCACCCGCTCCGTGTGCTCCCCCTGCGCCGCCTCCTCGGCCATCAGGCGGGCGGTGAGGCCGAGCAGGCGCTCCTTCTCCTTGCGGCGCTTGCTGGCCGCCAGCTCCTTGCTCTCCTCCAGCGCCACCATCTGCGCGGTGATCTTGCCTCGCTCGCGGGCGTAGCTCTTCGCCGGCACCTTCAGGTCGTACATGGTCAGCGTCCAGAAGGTGACGAAGAAGCGAGGGCTATGGGAATAGAAAAGAGAGTTAACAAAAAAAGAAAACACAGCCAATAAAAGACACCAACTTGAGGTCGACGCTCAGACTGCCCATGATGGGAATGATCGCCTCTACGAGCGGATTGAGCACTGCGTCGCTCGCCCGCGCGTAGCACTCCGTCGCAAAGGACTTGGTCTTGTCGGCCTTGCCGCTGAGAAACTCCTCGTAGATGGACTGGAAGAAAAGCTGATTAGAAATCGAAATTATTTTTAAAAACCCTTTCAACTTACATTGATATCATGGTTGACCATAGGGCGCACCAGAAAGAAGGTCACATCAGGGCTGAGGTGAAAGTCGACAAAGAGGTCGCGCACCGGGGGCAGTCGCCGGCGGTAGTCCTCAATGCTGAGCGAGTACGAGAGAAAGTGGCCGTACTGGACCAGCGTCTCCTGGCACTGGTCGTACAGCTTGCCGACCAGCTTCAGGTGGGTGTTTCGACCACCTCCTCCTCCTCCTACCTCCCCGGTGCTCTGCTGGAAGACGATGCAGTTGCGCTGCTGCGCCATCAGTATGCACAGCGCCATCGCCAGTCCGTTCTCCAGCAGGGCGTCCTTCAGTCGGACCGTCGACTTCTTGATGTTGCGCACCTGATTGAAGGTGCCGCCCTCCGACTTGAGCAGCTCGCCGCCGCTTAGCGCCTCCAGCTGCTCGTCGGTCATCTCCTCGGTGGTGTCGATGCCGGTCATCTTCTGCACAATCTCCTTGAGAATCAGCAGGTCGAGGCACTTGTTCACCTTCAGCTGGTTGGTGATGAACTGCAGCAGGCCGGGCAGCTCCACCGGGTACTTCTTCACGACGGCGCCGCAGAAGTTCGCCAGGCTGATCAGCCAGGGGGAGATGCTGGTGCCCTCGTGCTTCGAGGCCTCCTTCGCCGGGTTGGAGAGCACCTCAATGACGCAGAAGAGGAGGACGTCGTAGGAGACCGAAGAAAGGTACTTGAGCGAGTCGACCACCGGGCCGATCAGGTTGTCGTACGACTGAATCTGCCCGAGAATCTAAAGAGGTGGAAAAGGGGAAAAGGTTTTGGGTAAAAAAGCAAATTTCAAAACACACATTTTGTCCACTCACATATTCAAAGAGGTAGGTCGGGTTGGAGTGACTGAGCTTGCCGATGACCCGTCCCGACTGCTTAATGCTCTCCTTGTCCTTGCTGATGCGCTTCATGATGTAGCGCAGGCGGCGCATGCCATAGCACTTCATGCGAATCAGCAGCGGCGCCGCCGGCTCGCCCTTCCACGCGTGGTACAACGCAAAGCGCTCGTTGTAGGGAAAGAGGCGCAGCAGCGACCACAGCTCCTCCGCCATGGCCGGATTGGCCTCTACCAGGCCGAAGGCGGGCAGGACGACGGCGTTCAGCAGGTTGAGGGCGTCGTAGCGGTACGTCTCCGCGTCGGCGCCGCGCACCAGGCTCCGGTAGAGGCGCAGCAACTTGGTCATCAGCAGCGTGCTGCGGAAGAGGTAGGGGCCGAGGGCGAGCACCGCGGGCAGCACTTCCGCCTTGAAGGCCTCGTAGGCGTCCACCTGGCGGGCCATGCTGGGCAGCAGTGGCCAGTCCAGCGCGAGGGGCTTCAGGCGGGAGGCGAGGCTGGCCGGCAGCTCCGAGCAGCGCCGGTAGAGCGGGTCAATCTGGTAGCTGATCAGCTCGCAGAGGGCCGCCCCGATGGCCGGGTAGGCGACGGTGCAGTACTCGGGCAGGCGGCCCATGATGTTCGAGGCGTTGCGCCAGTCGCCGTTGCGCAGCAGCGCCAGCACCAGACCCAGCTTCTGGTTGGGACCGATCGCCTTCGTCCGCTCCTCCTCGAAGATGTCAACGTCCTCGTGCTTCGCCCCCTCGACGGCCATGATCTCCGAGAGCTTGCGGTGAAACTTCTTCGCCTCTTCAATCTCCGCCTTGTAGGCCTCGACGATCTTTGCGTCGGTTGGCAGGAGCTGGTGTTGTTGTTATTGTTGTTGGAGTTGGAAATAAAACAGAAGGTCAGTTCAGTGGTAATAACAAAAATAGTATTTCTCAGTCAGCACTTACGTATGGGTAAATGTCGTCGACGCGAATGAGGTTGTTCGAGATGACAGACGCGGTGACGTCGTATAGCGCCGATGGAATTTCAAGTTCATTGTCGGGCTGAAATAAAAGGGTCAAGTTAGACGATAAAACGATCGAGTAGTGCTTCCTTGACACTTACTGCATTATAAAAGTTGAACTTAAACGCCAGAATCTGATTCAACGTCGATGGGTTGTCCAGAAAGTTCTTGATCAGTGGAATGAAGGAGTCTTTCAGGTAGAGTCTAGCTTCAAAGCATTCCAAGATGATGTCAAGCACTCGATTTGGATCCAGGTTGAAGCAGCCAATAAGCGACTTGATCGAGTTCAACATGTAACTGGGATCAAATTTGCCATCCTGGCACAGTTCCGTCAGCAGCTTGCTGTAGCCTTCACTTTCCTCCCGAAAAAGGTTGAACTTTTGTTGTTTGTAGCTGTGGGGGAATTGAAATGAGAAATGAGTAAGAAAAACACAGATTTTTTAAACAAAAAACTCACTATAACTTGGTCTTTAGCTTGATGTACTTGGTCTGTGCTTGCTTCGAGTTGCTGATGATGCGAGCGTCGCCGATGGTTTCGTAGTCAAGGCGCTCCTTAAGTAGCCAGTCAGCGACGATTCGCTAAAGGAAAATGCAAAATGAAGATATTATTTGATGAACCGGACAAAACTCGTGCCTTTTCTTACATTGTTTGCGTGGGTGATCAGCGTGAGAAAGTTGTCACGGTACTCCCTTTCCAGGATCTTGCTTTCAATGTCTGTGAAAACAAAGTTTATGTGGCAATGTTTGAAAAATGGTGTGACAAAATACCTAACACCGAGAGGACATCACAGAGAATGTTGACGACATGTTGATTTTGTTTCTAGAGTCGATGATAGTAGAAAAGCCAAAAATAGTAAGAGTTCATTGAAAGCTAAATAAATAGAACTCACGATGATTTCGTGAAGGGCCGAGACGATCAAATCCGATGGTGCATCGCCGACGACGACCTGCATGGCAATGCGGTAGAGTGCATCTCGAAGCAACGCCTGATCCTCAACGGCCGAGCACTCTTTGATTCTGAAGAAGTAAAGAATTAGAATCTAAAACTAAATCAAAAATAGATCACTTTCATCACTTACATTTCCGATTTGTTGTTTCGATCGATGATGGGCAAGTCCGCTAACAAGGCGGTGGTCGCCATGGTCGCCAGAGTACCTTTTCTCAAATTTGACGGTATTGTCGGCGGATTCTGAGATGAATTCTTGATTTCAAAATGCTGAACAGATTGGATGTAATGAGATGATGATCAAGAGAGAGAGAGAGAGAGAGAGAGA